ATGTAAATGCTAAAAATAAATAGTGCATAAAAATAAAAGGGGCATATATTAAAAATAAAGGATAAAGTCAATTATTATTGATTAGTGGTTAGTTGGATGATCATCTTGAAACTTGCATTTGGAACTCATTAGAGGATTGGTAGAACCAAAGCCTCCACACAACAAGTTGCATTTGCTTTTTGTCAAGTATATCATCCATTTAGAATCCTCATGAGTACCATTTAATGATCAACGATGCTTAAGTGATCTGCGTTGACCAAAGGTGTTATAGATCCATTAGAGGACTGGTAGAACCAAAGCCTCCACACAATGAATCTCAAGGTTATTGGATCAAAGAGATTAATTTAATATACTTGGGCTTGCAAACATAAGTTTGGGCCACGAATGATCATTTATTCGAATCGGGACAAAATTTAGCGCTATGTTAAGCAATCGTAAGTGGACTTATATAGAAGTTGCACCTATTTTGAGGCCGGTCAATAGCACTTTATGCACCATTTGTTTTGAGACATGATATAGAGATCATGCTCCAATAACACTTAGTGCAATAAGAAAATGGATGAGATGAAGAGGGGTGAGAGAGAATACATAAACCACTTTTGAATTAAATTTAATCAAACTATTATTAAAATCATTCATCCATTTTTGTGGAGTTTGACTCAATATCATGGATCCAATGATGTTAATAAAGTTCATGATCTAAAATTTAACCCAAGATCAGCCAAAAAATAGTCATAAAATAATATTACATTTAATATAAACAAGAAAAGGTTTAAAAAATGTTTTAAAATAGAAATAAAAGTGAAAAATATCAACTATGTTCAAATTGATCAAGAAATAAAAAGTAAGCCCATAGAAAAATCAGAAAACGACTCAAATGATCTTATAAATTTTTTGGTAATTTTTTAAAGTCAGAAACTATTTTTAAAATTAAAATAAATGAGTAAAATAAACTAAAAATATAAAAAAAAACCAAAGTCAGAAATAAAAAATAAGTGAGGTCACCAATATTTGTCACAATATCATTTGATCATTCCATAATTTTTTAAGAATTTAAAAATGCATAAAAGTATTTTTAAACATTTAAAACAATTCAAATAAAATGAAAATTTATATAAAATACCGAAACAAAAAACAAAATTGTGAAAAAAATAAAAATTAGAAAGAGAATAATCAAAAATGTTTTTCAGAATTTTTTCAGAATTTTTGGACTAAAAATGGATTTTCTATGATTTTTTTGAATTTTAAAACAATTAAATATAAAAATCAGAAAAGAAAATAAAAGTAAAAAATATGTGGACCATTGGATGAGAGTCAAAATGCGTTAGTAATCAAATCCAATGGATCTGGCGCATTGTGTATATCATGGTCATTAGTGAATAATGCATAGGATCAATAATTAAATCAGGTTTCAAAAAATACAAGTGGCGTGCCATCATTGGTTGGAAGATGACACGTTGGTCATCTTCAACCTCCAGCCAACGTGAATTGCAGGTCTCTCAAACTGCAAAATAAGAAGCTCAGACCTATGCCATTCATTTCGTCTGTTCAAGACGAAGACAACCACACCCTCGCGACAAATTTATATAAACTATAGCTCAAGCAATTTGGAAGGAAACTTTTGAAAAGGGATTTGAAATTTCATGGTCAAAACATGTTTCCAGTAGAAGACAAGTGTTACAACTAGAACCAGGGCAATGAGAGCATCACAATGATATCAAAGTTTTGAAGAATTGATGAAGGAATCTACCTATTGAAGTTGAGTTGCAGAGCTCTGAAACTGGACTTCTATGGAGCAATATAGGGCATTATTCTTGAATATAATTATATGGTTAACTTCAGGGAAGATTAAGGAAGATGAATTAATGGAAAATTGGATTGAAAAAGGCTTGAGAATGGATTTCTAAGTTGATGAATTTTGAGTTATGGAACAAGTTTGGCAGGGTGATTCTGGCTATCAAAGCTTGAGGAAATGAATGGGGAATCACCCTCTATTTATAGGGAATCAAATGGAATGCCCAAGCATGTGAAATGATGAAGTTTGGAGGTAAATTGTGTGAAGTTGCAAACAAGAAAACTGTGACTTCCAATTTGATCAAAACTCATCCAAAACGCGTGTTTTTCTATGCTAATCACTTCTGGAACTTCATTAAACATGTTTAGAGGCATAAACGTGCATAAACAAAGTGTTTAAAAGCCAAATCAAGGATTTCAAACTTCTGACTTGGTGAAAAATTCAGTTTCAAATTGCCAACATCTGACCAATGGCATTCTCAGCTCAAGGGGTCTTAGGGCATGATTCTTGATGCTTTAGAAATATGAGGTTACAAAGCTTTGTAATGTTAAAATAATGGAGACAAATAGATGCTTGAGATGAAAGTTATAAGGAGTCAAAGTTGGAAAAAAATGTTGACTCTCCATACATAGAAATATTTCAAATTTTCCTTCAAAAATGACTTATAATGTCTTACATCCAAACATAGCCTTCCACTTGTAATTTTCTCTTGACAAAAAAAATATGGAATGAAGTATATCTCTTGAATGACATTTTGAAACTTGAACCATTCAAAATATCCAAAAATTGAGAGAGTTATGACTTGTTGAAGTTGGCAAAATTTAATAAAATAACCTATAATATTTTGTATCCTTAAGGAAACTTCCATCCATTTTCTCACTTTGCATATAAAGTAAGGCATAAAGTTAACACCCTCCAGATCATTATGGAAAAAGAATGGGCTCAAGGTGATAAAAATTGACCAAGTTATGATCATTTGAAGTCACACATGAAAAATTGGGGATTCATCTGGAGGACTTGTAATCTTTCTTCTTCATCAAGTTTCTTCCACATTAAAACTACTTGGAACCTTTGAGGTGATTTGTTAATAACCCTTTTAATAGAATGATGTCTTTGCAATCACTCAAAAATACCAAAAGATGAGCAAGATATACTCCTTTGAAGTTCAAAACCCTAGCTCCTAGATCAAGAAACATGCCTTGAGGAACTTTGACAATTTTGAACAAACTTCTTGTACCAACACAAATGCTTTGTAAATATATTTTGTTGAGGATGATAATTAGAACTCATAGCAACCACAACCACTTCCATATCTTGAGAATTGAGAGAAATATGCATGTGTGACCAATGGGAACAAAGCCTTGTCCAAGCATGACAACTTCTCCAATCAATCCCTTGTGCTTTTGAACCAAATTTGATAACCTTGAATTGTGGTGAACCAAAATAACCTTGCCATGACATTCCTTCCAAAACAAATCCAATGGTGAGGTTTGAACTTCTCAAGCTTTATTGACTAGGGCATGGAAATAAACTCATGAACCCATGAAGCAACTTGTTAAATCTCATTGCCTTTACCTATATTAGTAACAAGCAAGACAAACCAACATTGCATTTTATTAATTAAGAGGAGAAATCAAGACAAAAATATTCATAATCACAAAAGAACACAAGTCAATGTGCTTGGTGATTCCTCAAAGAGCAAAGCTAAATATAGGGAGGGCAACCAAAAATCCTAATGTGATCTTATTGTGAATGAATCAACATGGTATGATGAAGGGATCTTAGGGGGGAAAATTGGGGTACAACACACGGTAAAAATTTATGTGCGTCTGTGCGATTTTTTAGAAGTTAATTTGTATTAAAAATTTAAATCGTAACGTGATGAAAATAATATTTACATAACCTGAATTTATTTACAAATGAAGTGAATAAAATATACAGTCAAAATATTATGTACAAGTATATATTTAATGTACCAAATATTAAATCAGAATAGTAAAAATAAAGAATACAATAAAAAGGAAGTGAAGAAGGAATTACAGACGCTCTATGTGAGAATGGATACTTGAAACTATTTTTGGAAACGTTCACAGTAAACAAACGTGTTAGTAGCATAAGCGGTATAAAAATTAAAATGAAGAAAATCGCAACAAGATTTGGATTTATGTTAGTAATCACAAAGTATAAAAATCAAAATGAACTTGTATGATGCATATGAACAAATGAATATTTACACAAATCAAAATCAAGAATTCAATCTATAATTCCATTCAATCCATGAAAAATCAAGCTTAAATCAAGCATTATTCATACAAATCAAAAGTTGGACAGCAACAAATTATGCATAAAAAGCTCATGAAAATCAATTTCCAAGTGATTCCAACCTTGTATACAAACACCAAAATTAAACCAACAAATTTTATGAATTGAATTCAATTTGAAACATCATCAAAAACCACTTTCAAATGGCTTAAACACAAAAATGAAATCGACACTGATGCACAAGTATGAACAACCCATGGTGCTTCAATTAAATTCAAAAGGTGAACAAAACAAGAACCAAACAATCAATTATTCAAGTATTTTAACTCACAAACAAAACTAACACCAAAGAAATCATACCAATATTTAATCTAAAATCAAAACATAGAAATTTGATTTCGTAACAAGCTAAATTCGATCGAAACAAAATTGGGTAGCTACCAAAATTCACCACAATTAACTATCCATTAGCATAGAAATGTTATTGCTTAACCAACAACACTAACAGCTCAACCTGGATTTCTAGCACAAATAACAAGCTTCAAAATACAGCAATTTGTTTAACATGAACACTAAATACGAACAGCAAAACCATAACATTGATTTTCCATAACTTAACGCGACGAATTTCAACGTGACAACATAACGAACTAATCCAAACCAAAATCAATGAATCGTTTTTTTTTTAGAAACTCAACACAGAAGCTTTTTCACCATATAGCAACAATTATAATTGCATCACAATTATATGAAACTTAAATGAGATCGAAAATATTACCGAAAAGCCGAAACCGGAAATTGATTTGAGGAAGACTGGAAGAAAATTACGTGTTAAATAGAAGCTACGGTCGTGGGTTGTTGCGGATTGCAAAGATGGATAGCTTGCAGAAGGAGGGGATGGAAAGTGAATCGCGGTTTACAGTGGAGGTCGTGGTTAGCAGCGATGTTTGATGGAGGAGGTATGTTGTGCGTGAGTGATGAGGTTAGCAAAGAAGAGAGATACGGAATTGGAGGGCGTTGTTTTCTTAGGATGAACAGGGGAGGTTGCTAGAGGAAACAAAAGGGAGTTGAATTTGCGGAATCACGGTGATAGATAGCGGAACAGGGTGGTAGCTGGGGATTAAACTGGTGATGGTGTTTGAGTGAGGCGAAGGGAATTGTAATTGAAGGTGGAGGGAGATGAACGATGTTGCAGAAGCAGTGAGTAGAACATTACAATGGAATGATGAGCGAAGGGTGTGAGTTGTAGCTACGATGCGAATAGAGAATAGGCTGAAGAAGGGAGTTGTTTGGTTGTTGAAGGGTAGCAGTAAGCTAATTTCGTGGATAAAAGCTTCACGTGTGGGTTTGAAGGGCAGCAGAGTTATGGGCAGAGATGGGTTGTTGATTGTGAAGTTGGTGAATACGGTGGATTGTTAAGCCGAAGATTGGAGAAAGTGTGGAAGATGGCGAGGTTGTTTCGGAATGGAGGGAAATTGGCGAATTGAGATGGGAAGATTGGGATAGAAAGTGAGAAGGAGAGAAGTTGGGGCAAAAGGGTAATTGAAGGAGGAATAGAGAATTAAAGAGAGGGAGTGATACTGCTATTCTTTTTGTTGTGTGTGAATTACAAAGAGAATTCAGATCTTTAAATAGGAAAATAAAGAGGAAAATTCATTTAAAAAATTAATTAGATCCGTTCAAAATTATTTCAATTTTGTATTAATCTGCAATGGTTGCTTATAACCAATGAGAGTCAAGCATAGTGTAATAAATATTTTTTTGTGACTAAAAAGCCCTCTTAATAATAAAATAACTAAAAAACCTAAAAGTATTAAAATTAACTCAAATTAAAACAATTTTTTTGAATTTTTTCAGAATTAAAAATAAAGATTCAAAATGACTAAAGACGATAAAAAAGCGGACGAAAATTTATTCGAAAAATAAAATAAACACATAAAAATAAACTACCTGTCACAAAGATTAAAGAAAAAATATTCAAAAAGTCAAAATAGAAATAAAATAAAAATATCAGGCTAAACAGACGTTTACGATTAAAAACGAGACTTCAAATTGTACCTAAAAAATAAAGCGAGCATACCGTCATAATCTATGCGAAACGCAAATTCATAAAATGATCGGTAAAAGGTGAAAACTTGAAATATTTTTCTCGCTAATTTTTTGTACAGTATCTAATCGCTTTTAACAGTTTGTCTATAAAACCTAAATATTAATATTATCAACATATAAACAACTTGGAGCAATGCAAGAAAATAGTAAAGAGATAAAAATGCATGAAGTGAAATGTCGGGTATTTTCAAATGCAAAATGATACAAACTTCGATTTAAACTGACTTTTGGTCAAATTAAATACGATTAAATGTTACAAATGTGATGAATGAAGCTATTTATTAATGATTGTGACCAAATGACAAAATATGATATGAAAGTGCGACTGGAAAAATTAGGGGCGAAATTTAGGGTACAACACCTATCAGTTCCTTCGCCTAAATTGATCTCCTCCAGTGGATATTGGGGATTCATCTTTATTGCTGATGTGACTGGATCTTTTTTGAATCCCAAAGGCTCATCGTCATAGATGCAATTGAGCCTCTGGCATTCGCCCCCATTTTCCATGCCTATTAAATGCAGCTTGTCCAATGGTTTTGGCTCATTCTTTATACTTTGTGTAACATCGAAGATTTCTACTTCATTGGCTTCAACAACCATATGTTGGACTTCGATTTATAAATTCGCCTTCAGTCTATTTTCGACTACATGAGCCAAAATTTGTTGTAACACGCTGAACTCATACATCATCGTCGAATTCACTTCCCCAACCAGTCGGTCGGATGGTATGCTCACTTCCACCTCACATTATCTTCTTATCCCATATGAACCCATGGGTGGGATGCAGCATAAGAGAATAAAATGCCTCCTCAAGAGGTCTATAAACAAATCTTGCAGGTGAGTAAGGCGCTATATTATCCAAATTTCTATCAAAGGTCCTCCTATCCACACGGATTCTTCCCTGTTGGTCGAACCCACTTCCCATGGGGAGCATTCAAAGTTGGCACATAAGTGTTGGGTAAGTCCCTTTGTTGGGTCAGGAGTTGTTGTTTCTTTTGGGGAACTCCCCTCTTGTCAAAATAGAGTTGAAGTTGGTTGTTCCTCTGTTTTGTCTTCTGGTACGCCTTACGAGCATTTTCAACTTCTTTAGCAGCTTTCTTATCAAAAACACAGTTGCATCAAGGACAAAGCATTACTTCGGGTTCCCTATCTTAGCAGCGGTACAATAAATCGACAAGACCAACATCAGCCTTGGGATACACATCATTCATATTATTCTCACAGCTTTTGCTAGTCTCCTCTTCCATGTCAAAATCCTCAGTGATTTCAACCATATTGATCTCCACAGGTTCAACATAATGAGTTTCCTAGATCTGAACTGGATCAACATCAATCTTCACGGGGGCCTTACTTTTCTCATCAAACCTCAATCTTCCATCTTTCAGAGTGTTCTTCACAAAATCCTTATAAATAAAATATTGTGAAGTTTTATGCCCCAAAAAATTATGATATTTGCAAAAACCTCTTTTCTTTCTTTGTTATAATGGAGACACCTTTGCGTCTTGTGGCACTAATATTTGGCCATCTGTAACTAATAGATCGAAGATCTCGTCACATTTGGGTACGTTGAAAGTGTAGAATTTCTTGGGATATTTATCGTTCTTCGGGGTTTCAACAAGATTTTTTCCATTTACTGGTGTAAGGGCTTTACATACATATGGAGGAGATGGCTTCAACTCGGCCACATCGACCTTGTTTCCTTCGACATAACTATATTCGACATCTGAATCTTTGTCATTATCATCTATGTCAACATAAGCCACTCTATCTTTCTTAATCCTATTTATCATGGCTTTTTCAACTTTTAGGTGTTCAACTTGTTGAACTCTATCTGCTAATTAGGCCATGGCACTTAAATTTCTTCCTAATGGAAAAGTCTAAACCCCCAACAGCCATATCGACTAATTCATGCTCAAGAACTTTGGCAAAACACCTTGCTTTTAATAGTCGGAACCTATTTAGGTAGTCATTGATCGATTATGTGAATTTTCTTTCACACTAGCCAGTTCTTTCAAGCAAATCTTGTATTTCCCCATATAAAACTGCTCCTGAAACAATTTTTCCAAATGAGTCCAATCATGAATGGAATATGCAGGGAGAGTTGTAAACTATGTAAAAGAATTTTTTGTTAGAGAATTGGGGAATTATCTCATCCTCATGTTCTCATTATTAGCAATGTCCCCCACTTTAGTTAGATATCGGGCGATATGTTCGACTGTAGACTCACTTGCGTCGCCAGCGAACTTGATGAATTTAGGGACTTTCCAACCCCTTGGGGAGTTTTGTCTGTAACGTGTACTTAGACATTGGAGATGAATAATTGGGCCTCTAGAGGCCAATATTGATACCATTTTGCATCATTATCATTTTGATAATGACTTGAAGATTATTTTCTCCTGTCAGGTCATCTTGTCGAACTTGACAGTCCACTTGGTCTGCGTCTTGATTTCAATTGACTATAATGAATGGTCATCATTTGACTTCCCTTGGTATTGGTTGTTCGACCACATAAGGCATAAGTTATTGGCCCTGGTTCACAATATTCTCATCAAGCATTATTTCTACCTGTTGAATGGGCCTAGCCTATTGAGGTTGTACATTTGATCGAACTTACGACTAAGGGGCAGCAAAAGAAATCAGCAATTCGAGTCATTTGGACCACTAACTGCTAATTAGTTTTATTTGTATTATGAACTAAATGGTTAAATATAATACCCATTTGTCAGGTGAGTAAATTAACCATATCATGGTTACTTTCATCCATTTGTTGCCTTAACACATTCACATAACTTGTGGTTAAAGTAGGCATTACTTGGGAAGTAAATCTCATTCCTACGGGTTGAGTGGTTCAACCATGATTATTTATGGCCGGTCCTGACCCCTTTAATGATGAGTACATATTTGTCGTATTGTAGCAAATGTCGAAGAATTTGCATGCACGCCTACCATAATAGAAGTTGGCATACCACATGGTTGTTCCCGACCACCCACGAGAATTATGAAACTAGGCATGTAAGGATGAATGCATGCTTGATTTGCTAAAACAAATGTTACTAGAAGATAACAATTTGTTGGATCGTTGTTATGAGGCCAAGAAGATATTGTTTCCAATGGGTTTGGAGTATGTCAAAATTCATGCATGCCCTAATGATTGCATATTATATAGGAAATAGTATGAAAATTTGGATAAATTTCCTGAATATGGTGAGTGGCACTATAAGTTGAAGAATAACAATGATGATGATAATGTCAATGTTAGTAAGAAGCAACATTTTGCTAAAGTGTTATGGTACTTGCCAATCATTTCAAGGTTCAAGAGATTTTTCTAATGCGAATGATGCAAAGAATATTATATGGCATGTAGATGAAAGAAAATATGATGGAAACATTCGCCATGTAGTTAATTCCTTGCAATGAAATAAAATTGATTCATTATTTATGGATTTGTCCATTTTGAGGTTATGATGATGAGTGAGGGAACTAGGTGTTTATAATGCAATGATCAAGTGAATAAATGATGAAATAAGAAGAATGAGAAGTTACCTCTATTTATAGATTATGTCTAATTTATTAGACATATGTTCCAATTGATTAGAAATGGTAAAAAAAGGAGAGTTATCCATTGCAAGTATTTGTTACCGTAATAACTTACCTAACTATTCATTATGTTAAGCTCCAACGTTCCAATTTTTTAGTTTTCAAATTATCTAATTAATTGGACATAAATGTCAATCGATTATTTTGGCCAAATTCAACATATCTTGTTTTAGGTTTTGTGCTTTGTACCCCTTCTTGTCTTTATTTTCACCTCTTGATATACAACATTAGAACACTCATATTATTAGGTTAGAAAATAATTTATATTGATGAGCAAAAAAATTAAAATTATTATTTTAAGGGGTTAATCTGAATATCCTGATTATTTCAATCTTAAAATATTATATACCTCTTTTATCAAGAAGTCTTGATAAATATTTCCCAAAAGGTAAAAATGAAATGATGTATCCTTCTCTACACATCGTTGGATGCGAGAGTTGGTAAAGACCATATAATAAATAATTCCATTACAAACATATCCATTCAACTTATCACTAAGGATAATAGACTTTGAGATAATTTCAAATACTTTACTTTGATCACAATGATTGATATTTGTCATCATCGTTCATGCTTAGATTAGAGACTTTATAAATAGTATATTTTTGAAGTATATTATTTATTTGTAAAACTTTATTAATAATCGTCAAGAAACTTCAAGCTATAACTCATACATGTAAAACACTTAAGATTTCACCTTTGGTGCCCATATTTTCTTAGACCCTGGTGCATTAGATACAAAAGATCTAAGGTTGTTACCTTTAGATCTTTTCAACTTTTC